GATGACCCAAATACTTCGGCGCTCTTTCACTCGGGTCAGAGTCGGGTTTGGGCTTGGGCTTGGGCTTGGGCTAGGGGTCTGGGGCTGGGGCTGGGGCGGAGGCTGGGTTTTCGTGCACCTTGTATCATTTTCGGAGGCTCTGGGCTCGCTGTTGGTCCAACAAGCCGCCCGATTATAAACATCATCCCATTTACAAGTATTTCCAGTCTTCTCCCGCGATTATACGCATCTTTATCGGTATCTTCATTAGTTTGACCCAATTTATTTGTTCGTTGCATTGAGAGTTCTTTTTACTTTCTATTTTCTCTCGATCATCTTCAGAATATTTATTTCTTGTGGGTTGGTTTCGGTTTGTGGTCATCTTGTTAGCTTTTTGATTTGAGGAAGTCAATTTACTTTCATTTGGGAAAACATGTTTTGGGCTTTTCGTTTATGATGCCCCTGGGCGTTTTTAATGGCAGCATCCGTTGTGATATTGGGCTAAAAAGCTTTAAATCTTGACAGGGAAACGGAAATGTTTTAAAATGTTAATTTAGATGGCGATAGAAGGAGTATTGGAAGTATTTTGGGGACAAAAGACACAATACAGGACGAAAAGGAGACAATAAATAAATCAATTAATGGGCTAGTTCTCTGGCTTTGCCACTCAGTCTTTTGTATGCCACTCCTGTAATATTTGGTGACCCCAACATCTACAGATCACCTGGGGTCAGCTTTCTATGAATTTTCGTAATTGCTTAAAATGTTTTTTTTTTTTCTTTTTCGGTAATTGTTTTCATGTAGCACTCCATAATTGCCAATTTATATTGCCCATAAACCCCATTTATGGGTCATACTCAAAACTATGAATCTCTCTTTGATCTGTTCGCTTCGAGAACGCAGGCTCTTTCGGGGGAAAAGAAAGCTGCGCGACCAAAATGCAAATCCAAAATCATAAAATTCTGATAAAGACAAAACATTGAAACACTTCAGAGCCCGTTTGTTTTTGTTTTTCGCCTAACAAGAACAAGAAAAGATGGTAGAATGCTGAAATGATACATTTATTTGCTTGATATATGAGTTCGGGTTCTTTTTACAGATCTTGAACTAGGTCAAGTAATGATTAAGGGCTTTTCGCCGCGGACATGATCGGTTGAAGTTTTTTGAATATGCAAAGGAGCTTGTCTGATAAAATGATTTGATGGACAGTTTTAGTTCTTCATTAAGTTTTTAAGTTTTTTTAATGGGTTTATGCTTGGATATAAATATCGGCTCGGAGATCGATCTACTGGACTGTGTCGTGTCTATAAGAACAGTTAATAAGGGAACTCTTCTCATCAGTCGGATTCTGCGGCGCGTTTCGTTCGGTTCGGTTCGATTCAAATCCAGGCAAATCCAGGAAAATATGAATTTCAATCCGCGAACGTTTCTGTTCGCCGTGTGTCTGGGCTTGGGCTTAAACTGGAGCTCTGCTGTCTATAATTATAAAGCACCTCCTCGCGGTTATTTCTATCCCAGGCCAGAACGACTGCCACCGCTGCCAGTCAATGGGAGTTCGACTGGGACACCGGGTTCCGGCCTACCGCCCGGAGTGCAATCGGATTTCATTGATGATCTGATTGAGGGCCATAAGCAGCAAATCTTATCGAGTGTCTTGGGCGGGGCCATTGAGACTCCGTTGGACTCGGCATCAGCCGCAGCCTCAGCCTCCTTCTCGCCCCTCGAGGGCGGCGGTGCAAAGGCGTTCCGCGTCAATCGTTGTGCCAGCTGCAGTGAGTAGAGCCAAAACCAGAGCCAGAGCCTTTGAGCTGAATGTGCCGGGGAATGATGGGGAATCGATTCCAGTGGTTGGATAAGGATAGTAATTTCGAGTTTAAATCGGTTAAATGTGGCTTATCGGATACACTTCGATGCACAACATTTTCTTATTGATTAAACGCTGAAACGGTTATGAAAATTATGTGCGAGATTTCCAAGTTCATAGATAGACTATCTGGAATTTCGAACGTCATTCCCTGGTTCAGGCACTCGGTTCCTATCACAGATCCCTCTAGATCCCCATACTCTTACAGCCTGCGGCGTGCCTAACGTCAATCGAATTGTGGGCGGCACCCAAGTGCGGACCAACAAGTACCCATGGATTGCACAGATCATACGCGGGACTCTCCTCTTCTGCGGCGGAACTTTGATCAATGATCGCTATGTCCTGACTGCTGCTCACTGTGTCCATGGCATGGACATGAGGGGCGTGTCCGTGCGTCTCCTTCAGTTGGATAGGAGCTCTACCCATTTGGGGGTGACGCGATCGGTGGCCTTTGCCCATGCCCATGCCGGCTACGATCCTGTCAGTCTTGTCCATGACATTGCCCTGCTGCGACTGGATCAGCCGATTCCCCTGGTGGATGCGATACGGCCGGCCTGTTTGCCCACCCATTGGTTTCAGAACTTTGACTTCCAGAAGGCCGTCGTGGCGGGTTGGGGCCTTAGCCAGGAGAGTGGCTCCACCTCGAGTGTCCTGCAGGAGGTGGTCGTGCCCATCATCACCAATGCCCAGTGCCGGGCCACTTCCTACAGGTCAATGATTGTGGACACTATGCTCTGTGCTGGCTATGTCCAAACCGGAGGTCGCGATGCTTGTCAGGTTGGTTGCATCATCTCGATCATTAACTGTATTGATCTCCTCCTTTGGTTCATCCTCGTATTTGCAGGGTGACAGCGGTGGTCCACTGATCGTCAGGGATCGCATCTTCCGTCTGGCCGGAGTGGTGTCCTTCGGCTATGGCTGTGCCAAGCCCGATGCTCCCGGTGTCTACACTCGCGTCTCTCGTTATTTGGACTGGATAGCAGTCAATACCAGAGATTCGTGCTATTGTATTAATTAGTTGGGTAAATTATATGCAATTTTTGGATGGCGAGAATTGGAAACCATTCAACCATCTCAAAATTTAGATAGATTGTTTTATTTCGTTCGCACATCGGCTTGGACAATGTCTGGTGAATGGTCCAAATATGAGCCTTACATTTCTATCACTTGCGTACTGTGAAAGAAGCGGCTGTTGCCCTGCATGAACAGGCAACCGAATCGATTCGGTGGGTATTCGCTTGAATCAGCGTCTCAGCGTCCCAGAACGATGCCGGTATCGCCATTTTTACTGTCTGAGATCCGCAATTTCGGTTTTTTTCCCCCGCTCACTCTCCATTTGAGAAAGTGGTGCAGTGCTTTACACTGAAAACAAAAAATTATTTCAAATATAGCAAGAGAATGTTTTGCGCTAAATAAAATAAATATATTTGTTCAGCATTTTTTTTTCAATGTCAAAAGCCGAAAGGACACGAACTCCGTTCTTCAGAGATTTTAATCCGCAATGCTCGCACTTTGCTTTTAGTGGTTCGGTGTGATCCGAATCTCACCGAAGTAAGCATTCCTAAAGATCGTAATGATTTTATGAATTTGATGGATTCATGCAGGGCTCTAGTGTATCCTGTTAGGTGGATTGGGAATATTTAGAAACTTTTGCAAGAAACGAACTGATTTTATTTGTTTGGATGCAGAATTCTTCAAACTCACATTCGATCCAATAAGTTCCGGTTGCACATCAGCCCCAACATCTATCCAATTCTCACACTCTTTGATGGAGATTTATTGGTATTGTATGTACATATGTATGTATTTCTGGGTGTACTGTGGGGGTACCACGCAACTCCCTCAACTTCCAGCTGGCTTCACTTTCTTAATGCCAAACAGATATAACAAAAAGTGCAGAAATGTTTGTGGAAACAGGTTATGGTTACCCTTCAGAGTGGCCTTTCACTTTTTTTCTTCCACGAATGTTTGCAAAAATCAATATAAATCGAAGTCGGAGTCGTAGTCTCAGTTGGGGTTGGAGTTGGAGTTGGAGTTCGAGCTCGAGTTGGCGTCGGAGTTTATGTTGTTGCTGTGGCAGACAGAGAAAATTGAAGCCAAGGACGTTGTCTCTTGTTATCGACTGACACATTGTTATCACTTGTCAGGGTAGCCTCCTTCTTGCCGCCGGACCAGAGTTGACAAAACTTTTATCTTTATCCCTTTGGGCCAGGCGGCAGTCGTTCCCGACAGTTGTTTAATGGATTTTCAAGTTATTTCTGGTATTTTGTTGTAGTTGCCGCTGTATGTCGCAGAAATACAGCAAAGCAAAGATATCTCGGCGGAAAGAAACTCGTTTGTGGCTAGGGGCCAAAGAAAATGCCGCATAATTGCCGCCGCCACGACTCCGCTAAAAGGGGAGGCGGCAGTGGAGCCGAGCCGATCCGAGCCGAGCAGCGGAGCCGAGGGGAGTGGCAGAGGGGGGCCAGGCTAGGCCAGCCACTGAATCGACAATGTCGTCAATGCTGGCTGCTCTGGCATTTGATTTTATTTTTAACTAGACTATAATTGATGCCCGGCATTGCAAGGGTTATCGAACAAATCAAAGAGGTACGAGTACAGAAACTGTGGGGCAAAACGACACTTTAAATCACAAATCAGGCGAGTCCATGGCAGATTCACGTTTGAAGGATATTTTCTAAGCACTGTTCGAGCAGTATTCAACACTTTTTCGGTTGTACAGTGCAGGTTTAATGTATTACGATAGTTATTTATATTTAAGATTCCGAAAACCTAGGACCGGACCTTGTCGAATCACTTTAAAATTTTCTGCCTTGGATGGTCTATTCTATGGTCTATGCTTTTCGATTCGAACCCTATTCCGGTGCGTTATATATTTATGGTATTTATGTTTACGAATTATTCATAAGGTACTCTTTTCCAATAGCATTCACTCACCGAACCAAATGCCCATCTAATATGCAATAATACGATGGCAGAATCAAATTATCAATGATATTAGCGACTCTATTTATAGCCTCGACTTAGGCGAAGCAAAAACATACTTCCATTACCTACAAGAATATGAAAAAAAAACGATTTATTAGAAAATCCCTTTTGTTTTTTTCTATTTAAAGCAGTACTTTTTACTTATAATTAAAGTGCCTTCTATAGCGTATCATTTGTGTACACCTTGGAGCGAGACAGACCTTCTCAGTTGCCTTATGGAGACCATAGTCGCTTGCAGTTCTCTCTGGGTGTTGGCACAGTCCACGATCTGATCCACACAGTGCTCCCATTTTCGACTCGCCACTCGCAGGCTGGACGGAACTAAGGCGCCGAAGATAAACGTCACCGGCTGGAAATAACCCCGATTGGGCTCGACTGCCGATCGAATTAGCTTGATGATGGTGCCCCAGGGCCCAGCTTCCTCGACCAGCCGACACAGGGCCTTGAATGGCCGATATCGGGGCAGCTGGGCCTCGGCTGACGTGCGCTGGTTGCCCTCCTGCAGGCGAACTCTGGCCAGGATCAGGCGGGCCTTCGATGTCTCCCTACTGAGCTGGTGATTCTGGGCCGCCTGGTCCTCCAGAAGATGGTAGATGTGCAGGTGTAGGCTGTCAAGAAGGCAACAGGCTTCCTCCGTACTTGATATCGTTTCCGGTCCACTCGCTTCAATTGATGGTTCCGTCGGTTCTCTCATTGCTGAGCACTGGGCGGTTGGTCTTTTTTTGCTCTCACAGAGTTCAAAATTGAATTAATCTTTTGCTTCGATACTAGGCTTAAATTTGAAACACAATTTTGACTCTCATTTCAAAGAGAACACAGTCGTTAATTGCATACTTCGATAAAGGGATAAAGGATTAATTAGTACCAAAGCTAAGCCTCCACTTGATGGGGGACTCTATCACCGGAATTCCTATAAACTGTGTACCATCATGAGGGTAAACTCAAGAGAAAATTAACTCAGAAGCTCCAGCTGTGAACGGCTTGAGATATTCCCTTAAATGAAAATTAAGGCCCAATTATTCAGATCTGATAGTTCATCTTTCAAGTTTGTTTCCCCCAAAAAAGATCTAGTTCACAGCATACCCATAGCCTCGATTTAAAGCAAAGTTGCTCACCTTCAAATTTCTCAGATTTTTGTTGGTTTGTCTTTGATAAAATGATCAGATTTGTTAGCCAAAGAAGAGAGGTAGGAGGCACCGCACGCTTCGCTGGCTAATTTAACATAATTCTCACATAAATCGCCAGCGACTCGGTGTAGAGAAATTTTCACGCCTCGCTGAACGCATTTGGCTCGGATGGCGAAAAAACCAAATCCAGCTCTTTAGTGTTTTCTTCTTCCACTACTACTTCTTTTTTTATGAAATTAAATTACAGCAGCAACAACAACAACAACAACAACAACAAAAAGCTAATGTCCAAAAGTGTACTAAGCGCCGAGTTTTCTCCCGTTTCCCCCGCTATCGAAGCACTTTGCTGGAAAACCGCAAAACATTTTAATAAATTGCCAGTTATTAGTTGCTGGCGGAGCAGGAAAAAGTGCAATTAAAATGCATTCGAATGGGGCGCGGCTCCCAAGGGGGACAAAGGAAGTTCGCGGCACAAGAAATTAGCATAAGCATTGACTTTTTCCAAGAGAGGGCAAAAACTGCTGCACTCGTTTCCCATAATTTGCGTCAGTGCAGATAATGAGCAAGAAAGAGCTAGAGATCACGAAAAGAATTCTCGCCTTTCGCCCCGAAGCTCCAGATACGCTTGCAGATGCATCGGTCCTACGTGAGCTATCTATCCGTATAATTTTGCTTAAACTTTGCCACCTGTACCCCCTCGAATGGAATGCCTAGAGAGAGCAAGCAGCCCGTCATGTCTAGGCCCACTCGCGCTCGCCTATCTCTATATCGTAACAGCTTTCTTTCCAGTGTTGCAAAACACTTGCTCAAACTCATTGTACCCTCTGAAAGGAGGGTACTGTACTCTCTGGAAAAAAGTTTGAGAGAGTCGGTCGGTGCGGAGGGGTAACCACCTGCGGTCAGCGAATAGCAAATGGTGTGAAACTTTGCTACGTGTTGGCCGGGAAAGAGGGTCGCGTGAGGAGTGGGAAAGGGGGAGTGAGAGGGGGGTGCGCTTACATTTCGTAAACAGTTTGCAATTTGCATAAATGTTTTTAATTAAATGCATTTAAAGCATATTTTGCAAAATACTCGTTAGTTTTTTTTTTCTCTTCCAAATTTGCTAATGAAATCGAATGGGGCGAGGCATGGGGGAAGTGACTCTAAAGTGATTATGGCTAATAAACGGGAAGCCAAAAAGGTAAGGGAAAGATAATGGAAAAGAAATTGCTTGGCTATGATAATCATATTTTGAGTTAGCGAACTGCAAAATGGATAGATACCATAATAAAATTTCCTCTATGCTGCATGTAGCATATTTTAGAAAATCCAAGTGTCAGACCACATGCTGTGTTGGTCCTTCATTCGAATACTACTTATAGTTAGGAGCAGCTAACACAAGTCCTTCCCTTCCTCATTATACAACCCAACATCCGCCAGATTCAATCAGCTGCCCACCCATTCGTTCCTTGAAACATTCAGCAAACTAAACTTCAGGCCCAAAGACGATTAACTTGTTCCACAAACTTTCAAAGTGCAGCGCAAAAACGAGGCAAATAACCAAAAAATACAAGACAAAACTTGCCAAAACTCCACACAGAGCCACAGGTTTTTTCTTCTTTAAACACGACTGGACAAAAAAGCGACAACCGAGAGCTCTGCTCTTTTCTTTGCTACCTCAAATGTGTAATGTACGAGTAAAAATTTGAAAATATGAAGGAAAAAAAGAAAAAAAAAAAAAACTTAACAATTTGTCAACTTTCTTTTTTATCAAGCAAAAAGAAGGAATCAAGCAACGTGTTGCAAAACGATGGAAAAAAAAATTCCAAACAATTTTCAAAGCCACCGCGAAAATCTTGCACCACAGACTCCCACACAAAGTCAGCCAGTCAGGTGGGTTTTAGCCGTGGAATGGTCTGGTCGGATTGGGCTGGAGGTGCCTCTGAACAGATGATTTAGCGACGGGTTTTTCTTTCTACAAGTTGCGGGCAAGGCAAGGCAGGGCAAGGAAATGCAAGGCAAGGCAGGGTAAAAAAGTTGCCAAATCATGTTGCGGTTCCTTCCGCGACTCTCCCCCCAACCCCCGCACCCCGTTTGGGTGCATTTTTTGAGGGAGAGTAATCGAAAAGTATTCGATGAAACTCTTCCTTCGTGGATACCGGAGGACAGGTGACCAATAACCACAGCACCAGCACTGGTCGGTTCAGTTCTTAAACTTGTTTCAATTTACTGTTTTTTTCCGCTGTTGCTGCAGTATTATTCGTATACCCTCATAGGCAAGGGGTATGTGGTGTTTTTAAAGAATTTAGGGCTAAGAGAACTTGGTTATCTGAACGGGAGGATGGGTATAGATTGTGGTATGCTATGAGAGGAGTTGGTTGATGATATCTCATATAGCAATGAAAATGAATGTTTAAAAGTGGCAAAACTTGTTGTATCTGAATTTAATAAAACACATATAATAGTATGGTATTATATGTAAGACTTAAGAGCATTTTCTATTCGCTATATTATTGGCCATTCTTTCCTTTTCTGTCGCTTTTATTTTTTCGGACTTTTCGCTACGCCTGTCCTTATTTATCTTTTTTCTTTTTTTCTTCTTCTTACTTTGGATAACTGTTGTTTTTGCCGGTGCCCGGTAATTACCAATGACGGGAGCAAGAACGAGAACAGGCCAACAAGTCGAGTCGCGTCGAGTCGCGTCAGTTCCATTCGCATCCCTCGGCCCCAGCCTCTGCATTCGCCTCGCGGGCGCCAGCACATCACAAATTTGAAATCAGTTCATTATATAAATTGTTACCTTTAGACGATGTGGCAGACAGTTGGGTTAGGGCCCCAAAGAGGGGTTTAAGGCGAAAGAGAGAGAGAGAGAGAGCTTCAAGCAAGTCTTTTTTTCTGCCATGCCGTAAAGTACCATTTCTGTTCTTCAGCGGTTTCCTCCTTTTTTGTTGAAATTAGCCCACAATTTGTGTAAGCTAATGTCAAACGGGGATGGGGTTTGTTTGGAGGGGGGAATGGAAATCGCTTGGCACACAAAAGTTACCCACAGTAACAGTAACGCACTCGACTTCAATTATACAGGGAGCACTTACTGCTCACTCCTTCCCTGTCTCTGGTCAGCATCCCCATCCCCATCCTCGCACTCGTTCTCCCCGAAAGCTCAAAGTGTGTCAGCGCCATCCAGGAGAGGGTCTCATCGCGAGGCATTCTTTGACTGGCATTCATCTAACCATTCCCCCATCTAACCCCCTTCATTTCGTTGCCTTCTATGCGCAGCGTCAACGTCAACGGCTGCCAGTCAGTCGCCACTGTCCATCCAGAATTCGGTGCTCCAGCTCCTCCCCCATGCCTATGCCCAGATAGCTTGCCTTTGGCTTGCCAGGAACTCCCCTCAAACTGTTTGTGCGCTGCTCCAAGTGTTGACTGACAGGTGCCGCCGGAGAATTTTTGGCGCTACAAAGTGCATAAATAACAAATTTTTTCAGCTCTGTTGACAGTGGAACGTGGCAGATAGAGGAAAAGCAGAAAGCAACAAAAAACCGAATCTGGACAGAGAAAAGCCAAGTAAAAGCCATTAGTTAGATGAGAGCAGACCAGCGGAAAACTCTGTGCTTTAATTTCTTATGCATTTTCATTTGGACCTTTTTAAAGAGTTTTCAAAGTTGCACGTTACTGTAGTATCCGGAATCAAGAAAAACGACACATTAAGAAACAATATTAGTAATATTTAGACAATTTTAACAAAAATTTCATGAAAGAAAGGAAAAAACGAATAGATCTTCGAGGGAAATAGATAAGAAGGAATAAAGTTGAATACATTTTTAAGCAGTGAAGTTTTGTTTCATTTAGAAGAATTTAGTTAATGACACTCAAAAAAGCATTTTTTAGTTCTGATCTGGGGGTCTGACCAGTGGCGGAGCTCCGTGTGGGAAAGACGTTTTAATTATACCTTTATTGATAAGAAAATATTGTAAGGTAGAGAAGAGATTCCCAGAATTCCCATTTCAAATTGCATTTTTTCATTCTTTTTGATCGCATGTCGGAATATTGTATAGTTTTCGAACTTTTCTGCCATTCAGCGCCACTATCACCACTAATAAAAACAAAAACGAGGGTTAACTTTAGTTTTAAACACGATACTTAGTCAGTATGGCTACCCTCCGCCAAAGGGCGCGAACATTGGACGACAAAGAGTGTGTGCGAGAGAGGCAGAACGTGTGGGGCGCTGTGTAGCCACTGCAAATTGATTTGTTCCTTTTGGTTATAACATTGATCAGATTCGTCAATCTGGTGGATATGGTCATTCTGGTCGTTACACACATCGACTTTCCCCACAAATCCAATATACCCCTATGCTCATTTTGAGTATCCGGGGTACAAATATGAGACGCTATTCCGATATCGATAAGAAACGCGCGGGAGTGAAAAATTCATCGGGTACGTTTGATAATCGTTGCTCGGGGGTCTTTGGGATCGCTGGAATGGGGATTTCTACATGAATTCTACACCAAAAAACTACATTATCTACATGCGACATGTTGGTTCATTACTTGACTAAGCCTAAACTGTGTTATTTTTCTTCTTGCAG